AAACTAAAAATCACAATAACATTAGACTGAAAGTAATAACAAAATGATAATACCAAAAATCTCTATCACCCCCCCCCCATAGCTCCGCCTCTGAAAACCAAAACGTTCCAAAGTATCACTTCCGGTCCGGCTGGTTCTGGTGAGATGTAGCGCCTGGTGGGAACCAGTACAATCTGACTTAAAGAACTGGGATTTCTCTGTTACAGTAGGAAACATCCTATCAAAGAGGTCAGAGGTCACACCCGGTTCTACACCACCTGGTTCTACATTCCTTCACTGGTCGTTTATAAATCAACCTGCTGGTTCTGGTTCTGCTCTGCATCAGAACCAAACATGTAGAAGTGGCATTCAGCTTCTATGCACCACAGATCTGGAACAAACTTCCAGAAAACTGGAAAACAGCCGAAACCCTGAGTGCTTTTAAACCTAGACTAAAAACCTGGTCAGCGTTGAAACATAATCAATGAAACATTGAATGTAACGTTGTTCACCGTTTCTATGACTTTGTGTTTTTATGATTAAAGCTCTTTGAAATGCCTTGTTGCTGAAATGTGATATACAGGTATGTAGACAAGAATGTAGAGTGTTAGCATTAGCTTCAGCTAAAACCCGTGTTGGCATAGTGGTCATGCTTTAGCTAGCTCTTTTCTGAATGGTTCCCACTGCTGGTGAAAATATCTCGCGTTTAAAATTCGTAACTGAACAAGAAGCTAACCGTCAGGGTGAAGTCTCCATGTTTGCCTTCCTGTTCTTCAGTAGCTGCCTAGCTTAGCAGTAAAGTCTGGTGTTTGATGACTAACAGAAGAAACTTCCTGTGTTCTGCTTTCCCTCAGATTTATTTCTAGGTCCAAGCTGCAGAGTTAGCCTGAACATGAGCCTGTAAAGTCCCTCCTGATCTCATGCCTCTGAGCTGCTGCTCACCAGTCAGATCACCAGTCTCTGTTTGGTGCCTGGCCAGGTCCTTTCTGAAGAGACCTCTCATGTTCTCCATCTGCCTGTTTGCGTTCTCTCTGGTTTCCTACTAAGACTATTAGCCCAGCAGGTGTATGTGTTGCTGAGGGTAGATGTCAAACTGATACGGCTCTCAGACCTCAACATAGACTAAGGGTGTTTTTCCCCAGCCTGTGACTACTCCTCCCCAACCGAGCCGGACTTTCTAGTCAAACGAACTGGAGTTTAATTAAAGCCGACTAAACAAGGCTGGCGTGAATGCACCCTAAATCTGTTTTTATTGTCTGCGGTATCAACCTTAGCTTGTGTCACACCTGGTACTGAAGTACCCAACGCGACGAACACCACGGCGGTGACGGAGTCTTTGAGGCCAACCGTGCAGCCAAAATGTGACGCCAGGTCTCCGATGATGGCGGTCAGCATGCCGATGACGAAGATGGAGACGACGAAGCAGGCCCAGCCGTTCCAGTAGTCTGTTGGAGGAACGAAGGCAAACAGAAGCTTCCAGAAGACAGTCAGGAAGTGCATGACATAGTCAAAACAGGAAGGCAGTTTTTCTTCACCGCAGTCATCATCATCATCACCACCTGAGGAAGGAGACAACATTCCCTGTTGCTTCGTGTGAAAAACTCAGAGAAGCAGGTTTTCTTTCTGCAGCTTGTACCTGAGCTGACAGTGATGGCCTCTACAAACTGCTCCCTCCAGCTGTTCGTCCCGATCACCAGAGCCAGGTTGGTCTTCTTAATCAGTTTATCCACTGTGTTCTGAAACCAGACCAACCTTGAGTTGAAAGTCTGCCTTTCTGTAGACCAGTGGTTACTCTGAAGGCAGACGGATGCTGTGAAAGTGGCCTGAGGTAAGAACTGGGATATGTTGGACCAAACCGCTGGTGGACAACCAGTGGTCTCACCAGAGCTCCGTCTCTGTACATCTAAAGCTGCAGCCTGGATCCAGTGCAAACAAGACCTCCTGACATTTGGGAGGAACCTGAGAGGCAGAGGCGTGATTTTAGGGATTTACTCTCACCTTGAACTCGTAGGATTCCTCGATGACGACCTCCAGTCGGACGTGTTCGCCCAACATTGGTCTGCCCATCTCTGCAATCCGCCGCTCCTCCTCCTCCTTCTTTGTCAAAACCTCCTCACACACCCCATCTGACAAAGGTCACATGTTTGTTTAGCTGCAGGCCAACAAAGGTAGTGAGTTTTTGAAATGAATGTCTTCTCCAGCTCTGGACACTCGGAGCTTCTTTGAGTTCTCCAGACTCTGATCTCAGTTTGTCTTCAAACTCAACACCAAGAATCTGCTCTGCATACCAACTGTAAGATGTGATGTGATGTGATGGATGCCAACCTGTGATGCTGATGATGTTGGACGGGGCGGGACGGTCTCGGCCCTGGACCTTCCTGTAGATATCTCGACCTGAACAGGTGAACAGGAACTGAATGGACTGAATCCAGAACCGTCCTGTGATCAGAACCAGAGAAGGTTCTGGTTCCAGCCGACACCCAGACACACGTTAGAGAACACTGCCTGAAACGAAAGCGCTCTGATTAAACTGGACCTGGTTTTATGGTCTCCCAGTCTAAACCAGTTAAACCAGAACCTCAACTGGGAACTGAGCATGCTCAGTGCGTCGGAACATACTGAGCATGCTCAGTCAGGACTTCCTGGTTATGGACCGGGTGCAGGCATGCAGTCAGAATGTGAGTTAGGTTGACCTCTGACCCCTCAGACCGTTCTGAACTGGGCCAAACCCGATCAACCAGAGGAGGTGATCGGGTTCAGCAGTGGGCCACCAGAACCTTTTTTGCAGGAGAACTGGCTGGTTCTGGTGTCAGGTCCAGCTAGTGGACCCTGTTCCCATCGGACCACAAGGAGAACCAGTCCAGCCCAGTGGACCTGCAGGAGAAGATTCCAGGACCCACAGAGAGACGAGTCCAGAACGTCTGACCAGTACCAGGCCTCTGAGGCTCCCATTTAACAAACTGGGTTCATTTCAACTCAAACTGAGCCAACACCAGAACCTGAGACGGGTTCTTCAGTAATGCGGGTAGAGACGTTTGTCCCGGATGACCAGAACCAGACCCAGCTGCTCAGACGCCTCAGAGCACAGCGGTGCAGGGATGATGCTGCGGCCAGACTGGGGAACGAAAGAATCAAGGTGTTCCAATGGCCTAGTCCAGGGCTTGGCAACCCAAAATGTTGAACGAGCCATATTGGACCAAAAACATCTGTCTGGAGCCACAAAACATTAAAAGCCTAATATAAGGCTTATAATGAAGACAACACAGGCTTTAAGTGTTTATATTAGCTTACTGTCAAAATGACTAAGTGTATAATTATCATTAATGATTAAATGTTTATTTAATCATGACGAGCCACAATGGTGCTTTAAGTTTACCTTCCGTTACAATATTAATGTTTTACGTTTCGTTGCATTGATAAAATTTAAAAAATGCAATGAAGAATTCAGATTTTTGATGTAATTTTTATTATGAAGATCGACGGGGAAAGGGTCATTTTTTTCCTGCTCCCAAATGCAGTTTGCATAACGACCGGTCTTTGTAAATAATCATGTTAAGTGTGTAATCGAAAAAAACAACAAACCAGAATGTGCTTAACCTGCCCCTTATCTGGGCAACAGAGAGCAATAAAACACAACCTGCAGTTATAAAAATAAAGCAGCAGCCTTTTGAAAAGATAGAAATTTAAATTAATACAGTTTAAGTTTGATTTCTATTCAAATGCCAAGCATGTCAAATTCAACAGTAAAACATATCCTCTTCTCTTTTGACACGCAGCCATCCTCAGACCTCAGGATGTTAATACTGGCAAAAATTACTAATCAATTTATAAAAACAACCACACTGTTACTAAATATATGTGCCTATGACAGGATTGTGTTCATACGTGTTTAATGTGGCTCAGGGGTGAAAGTAAGGGGGTAAGGCAGGGTACTGCGTACCCCTAAAAGATTTAGCGGCGGTACGCAGTACCTGCAAGAGAGAGGAGCGGCTGTAAAGAATCAATGGGTTCACTAATCAGCCGTGACTGATTAGTTTTTCAAGAACAATCTAAACCACGACTTAATCAGTTAATAAAAAACTTTTTTCTCATTTCATATTGTTTCTGAACTCTTCGTGCTTTGCTAGAGCAGGGCAGCAACACGTCGA